TGGTGACAAGGGTTACAGGCATTCACCAAGCCTCCCCAACTACAGGAGGCCAGACCGTGGTGACAACAGTTACCACCTATTGACCACCCATCCTGTGGTGGGCATTTTACATGTATTAGCTCAATAATGACAATTATTATCTCACACAAGGTAGATATTCTTATCCGTGTTTGACAGACAAGGGAATTGAGGCTAAGAGGGGTTAAGTAGCTTGCCCAATATTACACAGCCAACATGTGGCTCACCTGGGTTCAGAGTTGGCTGCTTGGATCCAAAATGCATCTTCTTCCCTCTCAACTGCTTCACTCATTCACTCAAGACATCTTTACTGAACACTTTCTATCTATTAGGCTGCAGCAGGAGCTGAGGGAAATGTCCCTCTCCACGAGGGGTTTTTACTCTTGTGATACAATCTCTCCTAGGCAGAGTTTCTAAGAACTCCAAATGGCAAACGGCCCCGAAGTTCAACTGTCTCCCAAGCAGCAGTGTCTCCTGCCAACTCTGGGTGGGGGAAGTAGAAAGCACATTGTGTGAGGAACAGATACGAGTACATCTCAAGTCCACCAGGAATGGGAGAGTCATTAACCCTCTCAGTGCCTCCACTAAGTCTTCTCTGTGCAGGGAGCGGTTGGAACTGGATACTCCCTAAGCTCCCTGGACCGGTCGCGTTGACATCACCTGGGAGCTTCTTCAAGCTGCAGAATCTCAGGCCCCACACCAGAGCGACAATCAGAGCCTGCATTTTAGCAAGATCTCCCAGGTGACTCTTGTGCATGTTACAGTTTCAGAAACTCAGATTAAGATTCCCTCCTCCTCCTATCTGCTATTTTATTAATAGCCTCGCTGGGCGCGGTGGCATGCCTGTAGTCCCAGCCACTCGGGAGGCTGAGGCGGGAGGATCGCTTGAGCCCAGGAGTTCTGGGTTGTAGTGTGCTACGCTGATCGGGTGTCCACACTAAGTTCGGCATCAATATGGTGGCCTCCCGGGAGCAGGGGACCACCAGGTTGCCTAAGGAGGGGTGAACTGGCCCTGGTTGGAAGCGGAGCAGGTCAAAACTCCCGTGCTGATCAGTAGTGGGATCGTGCCTGTGAATAGCCACTGCACTCCAGCCTGGGCAACATAGCGAGACTCCGTCTCAGACCCTGTCTCTTAAAAAAAAGAAAAAAAAAATTTAATAGCCTCTGGCTAGGGACAGCCACTCACCAGCAGAGGGCACTGTAGGGAGGGGTTTCAAGGTTCAGCACCTCCACCTAGGTTATCTCCCTCCCTCCCTCCTTCCTTCCAGACCTAGACTGGCAAGTTCACTGACTTCTGGGATCCTCCAGCTATTCCCTTACCTGGGCTGGACTTTGTCAATAGACAGGGACGCTCTCCCTCACCCCTCTTTAGGGTGGCTGGGAGGCAGGACTCTACCAGGAAATGCCAGGCCACTCCTGCCTGGATTCCCCGCCTACCTTCACCTGTCTCCTGGCTCGCCGACTGGGTCTGGTTGATCTCTTTCTCAGAGAAAGAACTGGACCAGCCAGCGGCCTCTAAGTGTACCTAGACGGTAAGGTGAGCACTCCCTTGGGGCAGCTGGAGAGGGGATGGGCATTGCGATGGGGTTACCTGGAACTCCAGGGAGGAGCCAGGCCAGCTCAGCCTTGCCTGCTGGAGTGTAGGGACTCTCTGCTGGAGAAGGGGAGGAAAACGGGACTTGGCCAATGGGTATGAGGACCACTGGGATGATTCTATGTCCTGCGGAAATGTCTGTTATATTAACAAATGCTATTCATGGCTTGTGTTTGGACCATCCATCCCAGTATTTGTTATGCAGTAGCTGGACATCTCTCAGGAGTTAGGGAGGCACAGGGAGAACCAGTGAGGTGGAGGAAGCGTTGGGAGTTTTCTTAAAGGATATGAGCAGAACCTGTCAGCAGGAGCTTGGAACTTGGTGCTGCAGGATGCAACTGCCTAGGGACAGGTGATGGCAACATTCTAAAGGAGTCTCATTTTGGGGACCTGCTGCCCAGGATGATCTGGGGTCTGGGGCAAGACAAACTGGAGAAGTGGGTAACGAGGAGTCCAGGCATGGCGTTGGGAAGCTCCAGGTCACACTTGAATGGCTGCAGCGCCGTAAATACCACTCAGCAAGAATGGGGCCACTTGCCATTCTGAGTTCCTTTCCCCTTTCTGGAGCCAGAGGGAGGATGGAGTGAGGGCCAGGACAGCCTGAAAGAGCTGTCAGTCTGAGACACCCGGGGCTGGCCCAGGAGGAGTTAACCTGCTTCAGGCCAGGTAAAGGAATGGCCTCCCTATGAGAGGCCCGGTGGGGCTTTGGGAGCGGTGCATGCCAACTGCATCAGGGTAGGAGTCTGAACAAGGGGCTCTGCTGCACCACCCAGTGAGCTGCACTTCACTGGGGATCTGGACTCTGCTCTTTGGTGGCCGCAGCTGCATAAGCGAGGTGGGGTGCCTCTTTTCTTCCCTTTAGCTATTCTATCCCCTGCCACTGGTGCCTTGGTGGGTAGGGGTGTGGTGGGGTGGGGGGGCATAATCACAGAACTCAGGATGCACCTTCCGTTCCTTCTATTTGTTTTTACTTAATTTTTGCTTCTTTCTCTTCCAACTTCATTTCTTCTAGAGAAGGAAAGGAAGATACTTGAGGAAAAGGAAGGGGTGGACAGAGAAAAGGGAGTGTCTCTGGAAGTCCTTGCTCATCCTCGCTTCTCCTTCCTGCCTGTCTTCAGTTTAACAATTCCCTATCCATCCTCACTGTGGGGAGAAAGCTCGGATTCCTTATCTGTGAAATGGAGATAAAAATGACACCTCGCTCCTAAGGCTGCCGTGAGGATGAGATGGGACAGGCTGTGGAGAGTGCTTTAACACAGGGCACTGAGGAAAGGTCTGCAAATGTTAGCGATTGTTATTACAGTTGAAATTATAATGACTACTAATGTGGAAGAGCCAAAAGGAATGATGGGACGTCAAGGGTAGCTTGCTGCTCCAAATCCCTTCCCATCGGCTTTGGGGCAGTGCCGATTCACCTGATTCACCTGTGTGCCCTCCAAGAGGCCTGGCTGAAGAAGGCTGGTGCATTGTCTGCAGGACTGGCTCTTTAGGCAAAGAGAACAATGCCAAACTTCTGCTTCTTCTTCACATTTTCAGTGAGGCCATGGGAGAAGCAGGTCCTGCCCCAGTCTTCAATCCTGAGGATACAGTGGAGCTTCTGCCCCGGTCTGGGAGGCACTAGGAAGGGGCTTTAGTTTTCATGGGTCCTGAGGATGGAAGGAAGAAGGTGGGCCAAACCTCAGTTCCAGATGGGTAGTGTGAGTGAAGGGCATGGGAAGGACTGGACATGGGAAGCTGTCCCAGTGCAGCCTCTAGTGAGTCAACCGGAGGGGCCTCCCAGGGCTCGGAAGGAGGACGCTGTGCCTTACAGAACTCAGCTACCAAGCCAGTGAACTCCATTCCTGCAGAAGCTCCTTGAGAGCGGAATAAGACATCATCTTTGGCAGGACTGAACTTCCCACAGTGTCCAATACACAGCCTGTGCTTAGAAAATGTTCATTTGAGTGGGAAAATCACACATGACAGCACATAATCAAGAGTGACTCAGTGCAGTGGGATGGCTGTGGAGGTTTCAGCGAGCTGGAGACTGTCAGAGGCTGGTGCCCCAGTGGGAGGCGCTACTGAACGGGAGGGCCCACCTAGGGAGAGGAAACAAGTGGGGAGGGCAGGTGAGTGGAGAAACAGAAAACAGCATGAGCGAAAGCCAGAGGCTAGAATGGAGCAGGTGTGGGGAGCCTGGGCTGGCTACAGGGCAGGGGTGATGGAAGTTGCAGGGGCTGGAAGAGGGGAAGTAGGAGGGGGCGGAGGTGGGTTCTGGAGGGCCTCAGAAAGAGCTTCTGAGACTTCTCAGCCTGTGGCTTGGCTTGGTAGCCAGGTGAGCAGGAGGTGAGTGTGTACTTTTGCCCTGCCTCATTCCAGCCTCACTGTAGGCCCTCACCTTTGTTTTTTCTTGTTTCTTTTTTTTTTTTTTTTTTTTTTTTTTTTTTTTTTTTTTTTTTTTTTTTTTTTTTTTTTTTTTTTTTTTTTTTTTTTCTTTTTTTGTGCTTCCACTTTTAGCTTTTGTTACTCTTATTGTATGTCGCCTATCCCTGTGAGCTACCTTCAGGCCTTTCTGGCAGAAGGAGGGATATAAAGAAACACTTGGACTGTGTTTTATCATCTACAAATACTTTTCACATGACCTTATGCCATCCTCACCATT